TATATTGGGCTGGCAGCTTTTTCTCAACATATAATATCGATGGATTCACTTTTTCGTCACCATCGGTCATTGTTAGAGCTTTTCGGTAAAGGAGTCGGCATCAATGGAAACCATACCGTGAATAGAGAAACGGGCGTTTCCATTAAAAGTGAATTGGTCAAGGGGTTTCCTTTTGTGTGCGTTCGAACTCGAAAATTTTCCGAAGACATTCGATAGAAGTTTTATTCGAAAATGCTCGATGTACGTCGCCACAAAGGATGCGGGTAGCGGTATTTTACACATTTCCCTTGGGCGCAAAGGAGCACTCAAGGAGATAAGTTCCGCATTCAGAATCAAGCTGAACATCACTTGAGTGGCAAATCCAGCGAACTTTTCATATCAAAGGAAGTAATATGTAGATTGTCTTATACTTTAATCTATTATCGGTGAAACCAGGTCAACTGTACAGGGTGCATTGATTCAGGGATGCCATAATCGGGTACGGGTTCATTTTCATCTATACTTTAACCATGAATCGACTTACGAATGAACAACGCATGCAAATTTTTGAATTTCATTATCAAAATTCATGCTCGGTGAAGAAAGTGCATCGTGTACTTCTTTCAATTTATGGGCAGTTTCGTCGGCCTACTGAGGGAGCTATTCGGAAGCTTGTGACTAAATTTCAAACTCAGTTTACATTATTGGACATTAAACCACCAACACGCATACATAGAGTTGGGACCGAAGAAAATATTGCGGTTGTATCTGCCAGTGTTCGTGATGACCGTGAAATGTCGATTCGCCGCCGTTAACAGCAGTTGGGCCTCTGTTACTCCACTACGTGGAACATTTTGCAAAAGGATTTGGGTGTAAAACCTTATAAGATACAGCTGGTGCAAGAATTGAAGCCACACGACCTCCCACAACGTCTAACATTTGGTGAATGGGCGCTGGCAAAGTTGGAGGAAGATCCACATTCTTATCGAAAAATTGTGTTCAGCGACGAGGCTCATTTCTGGTTGAATGGATANTGTCGAACGTCTTGGAGACGTCTAAGAAAATCGCTCCGGTGTTGTATCCTCTGCCGAGGTTGAAGCTTTCCGTCGCAAAGTATACTACCCTCAGCACTGCCTTTCGTCCCCCCATGCCCCCTCCCGGGTTGAGTACCCTGAAGTAGGAGCTTCCCCCCTCATTTGTTAACGAGGAGAACCTACTACCCCACTCCTTCCACCCCCGCTCTCCGAGCGGTCCTCAACTTACTGATGGGCACTCCAGCAAGATTGACATCTATCCTCATTTTGGTAGAAAGTCAGCCTTTAGGTGCTATTCTTTCGTGATCGGTAATATAAGGCTGCAAGGAGATTATGTTGAAAAATAAATACATTTTTTTTCCAAAATGTTTGTGTTTCCTTTGGACCGGCCCTCGAAAAACAACCCAATCAGAAGCAACACAATTTGTTTTGTAGTCATAACATTTTAAATCTTTTTCATTTCTCAAATATTTGAATCGTGGAAGGCGGGGTTACTCAGTATTATTTTTCTTATTTAAACAGTCCAGAATATCCAAGAATGTAAGAAAGCATTCCACAACATTCCAGCACATCCTAGAATGTTGGAATAATCTGGAATTTCCAGGAACATCGCAGTTCATTGTAGAACTATCAATTATTAATGAGGTGGTAACCCACTATACTCTTTTCATGAATAATATTTCCGTTTTCACCTGAAAGGCATGACAAAAAGATTAACCGAAAAAATAACAATTTTATTAAACAAAAAACTGAAATTAAAAATAAATAACATACAAACAACAACCAAGAAATGAAAAATTTAAATATCAATACAAGCTGAAAATTGAAAATATTAATAACAAAAAATGAAAATTGAATATTAAAAGATTCCAAACCAAGTTACGTCACGACGTTTCGATTGTTAGTATCTACAATCGTAGATACTAACTAAGATGTTACTAAGATGTTAGTATCTTCAGGTGATAACTGGACTTATTCCTCCAAAATCTGACTATTTATAGGTCATTCGAGTGCTTTCACCTATCCCCTCTTCCCTCTCTCCGCTTCATCGGTTTTAGCAGGAGCTTACCGTTTGGCGGGAGTTGGTCGTTTTTCGGTTGACTCGAGGTTTCCATGTGTTACGTATCTCTACGCTAGCTTGACTAAATGCGTTGTTGGACAACATATACGCGGCTTCTTCGAATTTTCTCCTAAACCAGTGTTACTCCTTGTGGATGATTTCAGCTTAAGCCCACTTGATATTGTGTTGATGAGTCCAAACATGCTCTGCTATTCCGGATTTGCTGGTTCCTCCTCGCTTTGTGTGTTTTTTGTGCTCAGCAATGCGAACTTTCAATGGCCTCTTAGTTTCACCAATGTATGATTATCCGCACTGTCCGGTGGCCTGGTTTTCGTGAGGCTGCTATGGATAGTGTTCCCATATTTGAAACAGGTTCTGATGTTGTACTTGGACCCAATCGTTCTTATCCTCTCCGATAATCCTCTGATGTAGAGAAGTACAAGTACTGGTTGTGGCGGCTTCTCTTCCTTGTGGAGCTCTTGCTGTCTTCTAGCTAATGCCATGCCAGGCCATGACACATAATTTTGTCGGGTACTATACTTTACAGAAGTGGACGCTACAAGATTGTCGTTAAGACCGAGCTTCGATCGTCTTCAAGAGTTTTGTACCATGCGCATCTTAGGAAAGGTCCTAAGCCAAAACAAGTTGTAATGAATAATATCATCAGATTGATATACTCACTGTATAATTTTTGAGGGGTGGAAGATAGCTTTTGGCTTACCCATTTTCTTTCATGTAGGAATGTATTAAAACGATGTTATTTTTTTCCACCGTAGTGTGCGTTGGTCAGGCCCTCTCCCCCGAAGCCCTAACACATTAGGGAGGGAACGCCAGCATTATCAACCCCTCACCGTAGGGTAAGTGGTCATTGGGCCCGAGAATCATGTGCCCTGAGCAAGCGCAGTGAGCCAAGAATGACAGCCTTCTGCATCTGTGAGGCTATGATTTCAGCCTAAGTGCAGCAAACCGGTATGATTTCAAGATTCGTGAGTAGAGAGGACATCATTCCACCAAGAACTCCAATAATCAGAACAACTATCTTGACAGAGTGATCTGGATAGAGTCTGCGGAGTTCGAAGAGAAAATCTCGATATTTTATCCGTTTTCCCGCCTCTTTTTTGACGATATTCGTGTCGACAAGAGCTGAATACTCCACGACAAATATCGTTTTGCTCTGGTGGTCGAGAAGGACTACATCAGGCTTATTAGCTTGTATGAGCCTGGGGGTGGGAAACGAATAGTTCCAATAAATTCGAGTTGCAGCAACTTTGTTTTTCCCCGACAGTTCCGATGACCAGATCTGTCAAAGTTTGTGCTGATACTTGCCGCAGAGAGAGTTTTTCACTGCAGTTACCTCTTGTGAGTGGCGTTGTTCCACCCCGAGGTAAGTATACGTCTCTCCGGCATCCAGGTGGTGTAGGATGCTTCCATCTACGAGCTGCACATCATCTCCATAGTCCCCGCATCGTCCTCTTTTGAGATGGATCATTGCACATTTGTCTATCTCGAATTTCATATCGATAGCATGCGTGTACTCTTCCACCACCCTCGAGGACTGATAGAGATTCTTCTCTCCAGAGGCATGCAGTTTAAGATCATACATATAAAACAAACGGGTGACCGACTATTTTGTCGGGTACCGCAAGGCATCAGACCAAATGCAAGATGAGCTCATGCGAAATTGTATCAAATGCCTTACGGTAATCGATTCAGGCTATAGAGAGGTTACGCTTGTATTGTATCGAGTCCTGCGTTACACATCTATCGATGAGCAGGTTCTCTTTACATCCAGCGACTCCTCTCTTCGACCCTCTCTGCTCATATATCCGTTCGAACACTCGGCCAACTGCGGTGAGTATTCGTTTGTATAAGATGCTTGTAAACAACTCATAATACGAATTCAAGCACGTTCGACAAACCAATCCGGATTCAGCTGCTCTCCGTCTAGCCATGGGTTGAAAACTCTGGCCAGATGGCGATGGGTGCTTGGTGGTTTTTTCCACCAATAAGTGTTCAGCGCATCTGGGCCTAGAGCAGCAAAGTTCTTGGAACCCACCAAGGGTTCTTCGAACGTCATACGGGGTTATCGGGTTGCGCAATTCATTGAGCTCAGGCTGAAGAAGCTCTCTGTTGAAAGCTTCGAACTGCGTTAGGGCTGGAGTGTCTGAGTTGAGTGGCTGCGGGTGTTCATAGATATCCTTTCAGAAGGATTCCACCTGATCAGCGGTCGGCGGATTATCCACAACACGTGGAGGCTCTCGTAATAAGCGAGAAGGTTTCTCGCGGAATCTGAGGTTTTCCGCGATACTTCTCGCTCGCCTCACTAGTGACTTCTTAGCAGCAATTAGCATTCGTATCGTATTAAGGCAGTGCTGTTTGGTGATCGGCAGCACGCCTTGACTTGAAGTGTGATGGATACGTCGTAGATTGGTGGCTATTCGCCGCACTGCGCGCGTAAAGGGCCTGTTGGCCACCCTGTAATCCATCACACGTTGGATACGAGACGCGTGTTGTCTCGCAGACGTGATCTTAGCCTCCATCTTGTGTACACGCCGTTCAATCTTCTGAACCGCAAGACCGAGATTTCGTCCTTCTGATTCGGAAAGCGATTGGACGACGCTATACACGGCGGTGTTGTTTTTTGCCAGATATCAGCATCTTCTGTTAGAACACTATGAACCTCCGCATCCAAACAAGGCAGTTCTTGTGGCTTCAGAGGCCTAATTCTGTGGAGCGCCCTGCGTGTTCTGATTGATTCCATTTTTGGCATGATGCGAGTCTCTTCTGCAGTCGTGCCAACGGTTGGTAGAACTGCCACTTCTACCACTTCGTTAGCAGGCTGGGGAGGAGCAATATAGCCCTGCCGCCGAAGATAGGATTATTATTATTATCATTATTATATTTCAAGTGTTTCATCAACATTTCAGCCCAGATAGTTATAGTTCATGAAGTTGTACATGCTTTTTTTTCAGGATATGACCTGATTGAATGGTTAATAGAGCGCCTGGGAATCGAAGAGTCAGGTTAGTTACATTCTTCACTTCACATTTCATATTCAATTTTAAAATGGACTAATTTTGCAGAGGCACTCAATATAGCCCACCAACTATGTCAGTATGGATACTTCTTTCCCACAAATGAGCCGAAATACCTGGTAGTTAAAGACGACAGCTCACTGTACAGATTCCAGGTAGATGAAAAAATAAACGAGGAAATACAAGGTAGTTATTAATATTTTTTTCAGAAACCATATTATTGGCCTTGGAATAACAGACCACCAGATAATGTAGAATATGCCATTTTCCTTAAAAAAAGAACACTTAGAAATAAACAGAGGCACGCACTGGAAGATTATGAAATAGAACATTTCAACAGTTTGAAGAAAAATTTAGCCAACAAGTGGGATTTTATTTCGCTCAAAGCAGAAGAACAGGTGAGCATATAATAGAACTAATTCCTAACGTAATAGTGTCGAAAAAGCGGGTTTAAGAACTTTGTGATATATCTGAAAAAGGGGTTGGTAGGATAACAGGATCAATTTTTTCTAAAACAAAAACAATTGTATTCTTGCAGACGTTTCGAATTTGATTAAATTCGTCTTCAGGGCTCCGTAACACTGAATTTTCATAAATAATCCTTCCACAAAACATATACGATTATTATCGTTTCAATTTCACAAGAAATAATGAGTTATCAATCAAACTACTCACTGAAAACTAGTTTTTTTCGTGTTCACAGTGTTACTATTTTGAAAACCATCAGACATATTATATAATATTGAAAAATTTCAACAAATATTTTCTTTTTCAAAACATCAAAATATGAAATAAAAAACACTGGTTGACGAGATCCTATAATCATAACATCATAAAGGCTATTTATAGATCCTATTCAAACTTAATTTATTGATTACTATAATAAGGTCAGTGTACTTTGAAGAATAGATAAAAAAGTATTAATGATCTCAGAGAAAAGGCAAATGCACATTTATTGATTACTATAATAAGTACAGATCAGTGTACAGAAGAACTTTGAAGCATGATGGGGAGATCTACTGGAGAGAAAAACTGGATGAGATAGGATATAGATCAAAAAAAAGCATTGATGAACATTGAGAAAACGCAAATACACATTTATTAATTACTATAATAAGTACAGGTCAGTGTACAGAAAAACTTTGAAGCATGCTAAGGCGATCTACTGGAGAGAAAGAGTGGATAACATAAAAGTGTTGATATAATGACGATAACGTTTCTATTTCTCACCGATTCGGATTCCAAGAAAATAATGGTACTAATGACGCAATGCTATCTCTATTAGAAACGGTATATAACCAATTTATTGCTAGAGAATCACTTGCTGCAATTTTCTGTGACCTATCTTGAATAAATTACAGAAGTATGGCTCCAGAGGCATAAGTGAGTGTTCTCTTGAACAGTCCATCAAATGTGGAGTGCTTCAAGGCACGATCCTTGTCCCAATTTTATTTTTTCTCTATATGAATGAGAGCTCTCATAGATATAACAGCCACGATCACTTTCTTTGCTAATGACACCACCTTATTATGGCACATTAAGGATAATGCCGTTCTGCATGAGATCTTCTATGAAGACATCAAAAATTGAAGAATGTTGTGACTGTAATAAGTTATCCTTCAATATCATCAAAACCTGCATTCTCACTATTTGCTGCACCTCACCAGAGATCTATCTTGGTAACGAAGTTTCAGATAGAATACATACTTGTAAATTTTTGAGCTGAATATAGATGATAAATTGGAGTTCAAAGACCATACAATAAACTCAAGCACGAAGCTTGCCTCAGGCTTCTACGCGTTGAGAGTCATCTCAACAGAACTAGGTTATGACTCTGTAGATGATGAAATTTCTTGAGCTGAATATATATAGATAATATTTTTGAAGGTCAAGAACCATACAATGAACTTGAGCAAGAAGCTTGCCTCAGGGTTCTACGCGCCAAGAGTCATCTCTAGAGAACTAGGCTATGCACATTCAAAAACAGCCTATTTTGCTCTTATATATTTCCATATTAGATACAGGATTGCCTTCTGGTGAGATTGCTACAGACATTGATTTCAAATTATCTTCGTTCTTCAAAGGACTGTCCGATACATGTGCGATTTTGAAGGAGCATTCGACAATGCACTACCTAAATCTATCTGGCTAGGAAGGGTATAGAATCGACCATAACTGGCTGGATCTACGATATGCTGGTAAACAGAACTGCAACTACGACTCTTCAAGGCGAGGCCATCTGGTTCAGGGTCACCAGGGGCTGCCCTCAAGGTGGGGTACTATCTCCCCTTCTGTGGTTGCTCCTGGTGGATTGTCTGCTTGATGCCCTCGACAGAAGAAAAGTAGATCTGCAAGCTAATGCAGATGACCTTGTCATCCTGGCAAGGTCCACCTCGAGAAGGATAGCTTGTAATATCCTCCAAAGCACGTTGTACGTTGTTCACAGTTGGTGCCTGAGGGAGCAGATGTCTGTCAACCCCAGCAAAACTGTGTTAATCCCCTTCACCAAGAGAAGAAAATTGGATGATCTAACGCCAATTTCCTTCAATGGTGAGGTCATTCCATTTGGAACGGAGGTAACATATCTTGGCATCGTCCTTGAACGCTGGAACGCTCACTTGGAAAAAGTTTTACACAAAGCCAAACTGTCTCTATGGACATGTCGAAGGATTTGTGGTAAAACTTGGGGCTTATGTCCCAAACAAATCCATTGGATTTATGTGATGATTGTCAGACCAATGATCACTTATGGTGCAGTTGCTTGGTTACCGAAGGCTTTACAGAAAACGGCCCGAGCGAAGATCTCTGGTTCAAAGAGACAGGCTTGTCTGGCTATCACTGGTGCCATCAGTACCACCTCGTCAGCGGTCATGGAGATCCTTCAAGATCTACCTCCTCTCCATATTTTTCTGGAGAGAGTGGCTAGATGGACTGCATACAGACTTGTGCACATTGCTAATTGCACAAATCAATTAAATGCAGAGTGCAACAGACTGTTGGTTGACACTGGAATTCACTGTAGTCCATCCCTACTGTAACAGTAGGGATGAACTACGTTGTCTAACAGGCCTTCTTACTGGTCACTGCCATTTGAATCATCATATGCAGAGACTTGGACTGTCGGAAGACAGTGTGTGTCGCCTCTGTTTGGAAAATGCTGAAACACTAGAGCATATACTTTGTGCCTGCTCCGCTGGGGACCGAATCAGGTTTTTAGAGTTCGGCAGAGCCTTACTCTCACCATCTGACCTGAAAGACCCCTCACCATACAAACTGATCGGCTTCGTTGAGAAACTGGGTTAATTTGGCTGAGTGTGAATAGGTGAGCCACAATAAACCCTTGCGGGTTGCAGTGGAGGGTCGAATAGACCCACTCACTTTGAACCTAACCTAACCTACATGTGCGAACCTCTTTTCAAAGCTAATTTTATCCCAACAGCAGCCTCTTTATACATTTTGGAAACTATCTTTTCAATAAAGACACATTTTTGTCTTGTGCAATCCACACTTCTTCGTATGATACCTGCAGTCACAATAGCAATATAAAACTTTCTATTTCTACGAACTCCCCAGTTAGGGATTCAATTATTTTCAATGGTATCAAACTATTCAGTCACCTGCCAGTCTAAAATGATAAGATTCGTACTCATTTACCCTCCGCACACATAAGCTCTGTATTTTATGTCAGCATTTTTATTTATATTGTTTGTTTGATTTATTTGCATGATTTCAAAGGATTCTCTCCAGAAAAATTATTAGCAACAATAATTTATGATGTACTGTTTGGAACCTTTGGTGTAGTAATGAATATTACTGGAGTTTTTTCCCAACACCAAATCGTTATTTTTACACCTCGACACACTCAAAACTAAAGCTACTTATGTTATTCAGGTACATCATACAGGTAGGTAATCAGTAACACCACCCATACAAGTGTACCACCCTAAATTAATTTTAAAATTGGCCTTTCTATTATTTTACAATATGTCCTTATGTATATTTAAATGTTACAGCTATATATAGAACAATTTTCAGCTATATAAAATTAGTTTCACAATATTGCCTATCTAAATATATTTACAATGTGTCTTTTTGTAGTAATCAGTAAACCCAACAATATTATTTCAACAAGCTATATAGTATGCTATTTGGTATTGGTCCGTTATCGTTATTCATAATATTATTATGTTTACTTATTTCTACACTCTCATAGGCATCTAGTTGCCTGTTGTTGTTAACTTGTCTAACTAATCTTAAAGAACTGAAGTCTATGGAATGGTTTTGTTGCAAAATANAGTTTTATCTTTCTCTTGAAGATGATCACTTGGTGATCGAAACACGTGTCGAGGTGTAAAAATAACGATTTGGTGTTGGGAAAAAACTCCAGTAATATTCAGCAACAATAATTATAAGACTGTCTATAAGATGTATTTTTCTTCTGACAATAAAGTATACTTGATTCGATTTAATTTATAAATAACTCTGGAATAATTCAAGATGAATAGTTTTTAGGATTTTGAAAACTATGTAAAACATGGCTCATAAATGTTTAGGATGTATTTGTGTAACTTGAATGTAAATGTGAATCACTTGATGTTTTCCTAACATATTCACACTTGTTTCAGATGGAGAGGCTAGTGAGAGAAATGCAGCTCGGTGGCGTTCGTGTCAGATGCCAAAAAATGTTTCTTACATTTATACCTGCCGTTTTCATGGGTAACTATTTCTCAGTCTTCATCATCAAAAACATTCCATCTTCAAATACTAGAATATCATTAGAAATACAATTTCACATTAACATTTTCAAAGAGTTCTTAACAAATATGAAAAAAAAATTCTCTTCATCAAATCTCAACCAATACAGTTATGTATTAGTTTTTTTTTGAGAAAGTTTTGTCCATTTTTATGAGTCTATTAGATTTAAGTGACTTGAATCAATTACCTTTTGCCAATGTACACAAGTCGATTGATTTTGTAGGAAGAAGAAGAATATATTTATTGAAATAGGTAACCCTAATATACAATATCACATAAAACATATTACTAACATTATAGAAGTTGAAAATAATTATAAAAAACTCAAAATGTAGATATATTTCAAGATTGAAAATAAAAAAATAAAAATTTCTAGTTTGAAAAATAACGACATATGCTATT